AGGGAGCAAGCCCACAACCTGGACATGTTCCCTGACCAGGAACTGAACTGGCAACCTTTTGGTGCATCGGACGACACCCAACCAACTGAGCCACACCACGGCCAAAAGCTATTCATTTTATAACACTCGTGCAATTACCATGAAAAATATTTGACCTGTGTCTTGTAAGTCAAAGGGTCTGCTATGAACAGAGGAAGAGAATTGTATATTATTGTCAAAATCAAATAATACACTGCATAACATTCTTTTCTTTACCCCAGTCTAGCATGCCTACACCATAGAACTTGAGAGTATAATTTAAAATAATTGTAAAAAAAGTAAATATAAAGAACAATAGATGAAAACTGAGTATGCAATGCTCTCTTTGATAATACATATATAGTGTATGCCACATACATGTTACATATAGTGAGGGAAATATATATGAATATTTCTAGAAAGGCATTAAATTAAATTAATGATAAAAGGCATAGTTGTATAATGTAATATTAATTGTATAAGGTTCCTGTGAATATAGATACTGGATAATTATTTTTATGCACATGATTAATGGCAATCAACTACTTTGATTTTATTGTCATATATTTATATTTGAAAAAAAGGAGAGAACTTCAAAGGGTTTGAGAAACATTTTCCATAAGTTAAATAGTTAATTTAATAATAGTTTAATCACCACTTTCAGAACAATTTATTCCATTTGAAATAATGAATTAAATGTTCCTTTGTTCTAGTATTTAAATCCGTTCTTCTGTTGTTTTCAGTTCCTCCTTCTCAATGTAAAATTTATTCTTAAAATTAGTTATACCAAATATTTTGCCAACCATGAAAATATTTTAATTTGGAGCCATCTTGAAAAGTACAAATGCATATTTGCAAGTAAATTGGAAGCCTAATTGTGGTCTGCTTTATTTTCCTTAATTTGGAGTTGTGTGACTTTGGAAACAATCTATTGAGCTCTTGAAGTTAAGTAGCCAGTTTTTGGCATTTCAAACAAGGACTGAACTATTCTCACTCTTTCCCTTTGACCTACTGAAAAATAATGAAGAGAAAGCATAAGAAGGAAGGAGGACGGAACGGGGAAGATTTTTAAAAAGGGAACTCAAAAACATTAGATTATGGAAATAAAATTACACATATTTAATTTGAATAATTTGTTAACAACATAATTTAGTAACAAGAATAGATTTAATGATATAGGGCAAGAAACTAGTATATTAGATTAAGGTCTTAAATTCTAACCTTTTCCACATTATGGGTAGATGTTTTTATTACCCAATAGTTTGATTTCTTAATTGCTGTTGAGGGAACAGTGGTGAGACTGACTTGGATATCCAGGACACACACCAAAATTTTCCGCTTCGCATATTTAAAGGTGATAATCTAGCCTAAGAAAAAGATGTGTTTCAAGTATGATATTTATGCTAAAGTTAACTCAGAACTTCAATCAATAGTTTAGTTGTAAATGACTTTGACTATTAGCATAGGAATTATTCACATTTACATAGAATACATTTACTTTCTCTGAAATAATTTAGTTATTTACACTATAATCATACATAGACAAAAATAAGATTTTATAATATCTACCTGGAAATATATTTGTATGAGATTATGCAACATATAAAATAGAACAATCACAAATAATACGTTTAGTTTGCATCCAGCTTTTAATTGACGCCTGAAACACTGCATATGTTGTTCTCCAAAATTCTATGGAGAGACTATGCAGGGCCACTTATTCCAATCATATACCACTGATATGCCCAATTATTTGTTCAGTGAACAAACTGAAAAGCCAAAAATCAGATATCAAAACCACACAACTTATGTTCTACTGTATATGTTACTGTATTGGCAGGAAACCATGTATAAGGAGAAACATAATTCACTTTTAATGCTATCCAAGTTTCTTGATTCTACATTTAAAAAATTTTCAAGTATATCAGAGAAATTACACTTACTTTTATCCTCTTAATACACCTGGGAAAAAATAATTTAGAAATGAGAAGTAATCTCTTTTCATAAATCATATCATTGTTATTTTTGAGATTTAAAATAATGCTGGACACCTTAGGAACAATAGAGGTATAAACAAACCAGCTAAATAGAGTGTATGTGACAAGATTATGTGCTACGGTGCTAGTTTGGAATATTGTTTTGTAAATCGTTGAACATCACGGGTTTTCTTTGGAAGCTACATCTTTAATTTCATGTCATTCTTATCTCCTATTTTTATGCATCAAGAAAATAAACTGGTTACTTGGAGGATTCCACTTTGCATTTTATGATTTATACAACACCGCCGTATCTGCATGTAATATTACATTGAGGAAGTGATTTTGACATTTTTTTAAAGAAAAATAACTCCCATAATGAAGAGAAATTAATTACAACCCCAATTGTGAAAGCAAATGCTACTATTTCTTTTTCTTTTCTAATCCTGAATTTAATATGGAGGAGGTAGATGAAAAGTAAGATACACTTTTTATTTTTCATGATATCACATGGCATTATTAATCTTGTTCCTTTCCCTTTGAAATAAAGTTGGAAGGAAAAATGTGGCACAGAATGAGGATAGTTTACTTCACTTGGCCAATGTAGCATTACCATATAATGACATATGCACATATATATATATTTAATTCCTCAGGAAAACCATTACCACCTGTTCAACCTGAATTCAAGCAGTTACTGTCAATTTACTCATGGGTGAATGCTGCCTCTTGGTGGCAGAATGCCATGAAAAGTGTTCCCTAAACATAAAGTTCATGAACAGCCCTTGATATTGTACATGTTTCAGGTGAGATTATGGGAGACCCACCAATAGCAATGAGTGGCTCTTTAAATTTCAGGTTAATTCAAACATCTCCTCCCCTTAAATACTAATCTCAATTCACTGGCAAACCTTATTCAGAAGTGGACAGCTTATACCAGCCAACATTATGAACATTTAGGATGTAGATCAGCTGAAGATAAAGTATCCGTCATAATTGTTGAAGGTAACTTTATGCAGGTAAAAATATGAAACAGTAGAAATTTGTAGACTGAATAAGTAACGTTGACATGACAAAAATACACAATATTGGAAGAAAAATGAATATGCAGTATATTACTTACCATGCTCCATGTATTAGATGAATACTTCAGTAAGGAAAAGGAGTATACAATTAAAATTTCATTAATAAACACATTAAATGACATTTAGAAAAACACAATTCTGTGAACCACCATAGACATAACTACATATCTATATATATTTAAACTTGACAATTCAGGGAAATTTTTTTTTTCCGTGAGGAATAAGTTAGCTATCATGTCCTAAATTGTTAATAATGGAGATTCGGTCAATCACACATAGCTAATTCTTTTGCACTTTAAGCAATCATTACTTCAATTCCTTGTATTTGACATAGTTATCAAGTATTTATTCAGAAACTATTTAAAAAATTACATGTGCTGGGATACATAGAAGACTGTAACAACAGTAGCCCCATCTTACAGAGATCCTGTTTGTGGTTATCGTCATTGCTTGCTGCCCAGAGGGATCAAGACATTGTATAGGGATTTGTACAGTCCATCATTTGGTCTTCTGAGGTGCTAGTACACGTGGATCTGTACAAATGCGATGTTGTTTGGTTAAACAATCAAAAACCGGCTACAATAGTAGTCAAATCAATACATCATTTTGGTTTTTCTAATAAAAAATACTTTGAAATCTTCTCTAATAAAACCAGAAACCTGCACCTGATTCTCACCCGAATGACCCAATTAATTGCCCTAATGTTTTAATATACATCGGGATACAATCAGTTATTATTATTATTTTTCAAATTACAGATCCAAATGGGCGGGTTGCACTGGCTTTAAAATTTTGTCATTAAGTTCTCCAAGTTTTTAATGGTTTAAAAGTGCCTTCCTGATATCGCTTCAGTTTTGGAAATGCAGCTCCTCGTGTAGTGTGACACCTCTGCGAAAATCATAGGCTAAATAGTGAAGGAAAGAGAAATGCTAAATGTGCATATAAAAATAGGTGCTACAATAAAATATTTGTATATTTCATCAATAAGTTATTTTGACTAATCAATTATGGATCATATAGCTCTGTAATTTTAATGATTTGTCCACATCTGTGGTGACCCCCCGTCCAGATCACAACGCTTTTGTCTTTAATTCAAATGTCCAGAATGCATACAAACACATCCTTTTAAAAGAAAGAAAGGGAATGAGCGAGGAGGGAGGCAGGGAGGCGGAGAGAGCGAGGGGTGGGGGGGGGTA